GTCACTCACAAGCCTACTTTTTTTGGAGGGCGAGCCCACGCGGCTGGCGGCGGTGGCCCCCCTCGCCAGGCACGCTTAGGAGCTTTGACGCGCCCGCGGAGGCGCGCGCTGCCGGTGCGGCGGCGTTGCGGAGCTCCGCGAGGCGCGGAGAAAATGTTCTCCAGAGGCGGGGCCCGAATTCAAGGGGGGATGTCACGGGGCCTTTCTCTGCGATGAACATGCACTTGTAAAAAGTTCAGAGGGAGTTCTTAGATCGGGTCACGTTGGAAAGCGATTTCGGGGAAATCGCGGATCATGGCCCCGGGCCTGGAGATTTTGCCGCGCCAAGCTGCCCGTCAGAGTCTGGGGAGGGTCGCGGCCCGAAGATCGGCCCTGGAGGCGCCCAGATTGCGCCGCGATGTGCTCGAGCGGGCGCTGCGCTCTAGCAGGGCCCCCCCGCCGGGCAAGTCGGCTGCCCGCGCCGCTGGCTGCGGCGAAAGCTGGGCGAGGGTGCGCGCGCGGAGCCTCGGTTGCCAGTTGGGGTACGTAGAATGCCCTCTTTGCCGACGAGGGCCAGACGCGCTCTTGCATCGCCCATGGCGCTGCTCTGCCCGCGCCGGGGGGGGCGCAGGGGCTGCCTCGAGAAAGCGCCCGCGATATGTGGGTGGCGCGGGCGTGGACAAACCCCAGGATCTGCTCTTGCTTAATCGCGCTATCTCCCCTCGCCCGGGCGACTTCTGGCCCAGGCCTGACCGGGGGCGCAAGATCGCGCGGCAAACCGCGCGGCAATGGGGGGGTCGCGGAGGAGGAGCAGCTAGTGATGGGGGAGTTGTTCCTGGACGGCAGCTGCGCTAAATGTGTCGCGCCTGAGCTGAATCGGGCGGCCTGGGAGCTTGCGGTTCTCGATCGGGCCGCCAAGCTCGCGGGGCGCGTTTTTGGCGCGGCGCGCGCCGGCCTGCCCCGCGCGCCCCGGGCCGGGGAGTTTGCCGCCTTCGGTTGCGCCGGCCAGATGGTTGAAGGCCTCTACGGCGCGCGCGCTGGCTGCGCGAATGTGCAAGAGCGGGTTAACAGACCCCTGGGTGACGAAACGCACTATCAGAGGCCATGTGCGGGGTTGCTCCTGCACGGGCAACGCGCGCCACATCTCATCCAGCCAGTTAGCAAGGTCAAGGCGCATCTGTCCCTGGACGAACAGGGCATCCCAGAGTGCGAGACGAGGCTTCGGAAACAAAACAAAATCCCAGCTGACCAGGCCGCGAAAGCACGGGCCCGCCCCCGCGCGGCCGCTGCGGCCGAGCAGATGTAAGAGTTGTGCGAAGTGCTGCCGATTACCAGCGCTGTCTGCCAGTCAGCCGCAGCCATGTTTTTTTTTCATGTGGCCGAAGCTTGATTTAAAGGATGTCGCGCGTGCGCAGGAGAGGCGAGCCCGCGCGGGGCACCCTGGCCGCCCCCTGCACGCTCGGGAATTCAAAGCGAATCGCTGGCGCTGCAGCTCTTATCTCAAGGCCTCTCGGTCTCAGATCCGCCCCCCAACGCGCGGCTGTCCGGGTGCCCGCGGGGGCTGGGACTTCGGGGATGTGGGGAGACAAGGCCACTCGGTGGTCGGCCTGCCACGTGACAGTGGCGAGGCGCTGCATATTTGCACAGGGCGCGCTGCCTGCGTCAGGCCCGGCTCTCTCAAGCAGTCAAACTTCAAAGGCAGATGCGAGCGGCAAATGGCTGCTCGCAAAAAGTGTCCTTGGCGCCGCGCGCTCCGCAGGCTCAATACCAGCTGCAGTTCCAGGCCGAAGGTGGACCCCGACGGCGTTCAATACCTCGCCGTGCGAAGCTTGAAGTCACGATTTAAAGCTTCGCCGGCGTCAGCGTCGCTGGCGCGAGCGAGCTGGCCCCTCAGTCTGCCCAGGTGACTTGGTCGGGGCCGCGCAGTTCCAGATTGCTGTCCGTAGTCATGCCGGCGCCAAAAAAAACAGCAATCCTGTCGCCGGTGAACGAACCAATCGCTCACATGGGCCATGGCGGCCCTCAGCGCAGCAGCCCTGATTGGTAATTGCAAGAATTGCACAGACCCATACTGATCCAGGGACTCTACCCATGCACTCACCTCTTCGAGCTGGGACGCCACATCGTTCACCTTCTTCGGTCTTTGAGGGTTCATTGCCAGGTTCACAGCGTGGGAGATCGCGACGCTGGCGACGGCTGACATCCGAACCATTCAACCATCACCTTCGCGAAGGCCTCTGACCCTTTCGCGGGGCTCTGTCCCCTCGAAGTTATCGATTAGCAGATGCCAGAGGTCCTCGTCCAACTTGGCGTCGCCGTCCTCGTCTAACTCATACTCCTCTTTCGCGTCGTCTTGTCTCTCGGCTTGCGACGCCTTGGTCAACTCCCTGAGCGATACCCTCCCACTCTTGATTTGTATCAAATAATCAGTTTCGTCATCGGGCCATGCCCCATCAATAGCCTCGTGCTTGTTATTCAACCATGTCAAGGCTCTCTGGTAACCGTGCTTCACTTGGCAGTGTATTCAATAGCTGTTCGCTTCATTCCCTGAATTTGGCCCGCCTGGTCGCCCGAAAACGCCTTTAACTGCTGAGCTGCCTTCCACTCGCTCGCGGATTTGCATCCACCTCCTCCGGACCTTGCTCGTCCAGCGACATGCATGGCCTCCGCGGTCTTGTTAACATGCTCCGAAACGTTCAATTGATCTGGGGTTCCGTCTTAACGTGTTCCTCTAGGTTGTTGGAATGGCCCTCGCAGTAGATGTTGCGGTTAATGACGACATCGAAAAAGCGTTCATCTCGCATTGGTATGCAGCACTGAAAAAGCCGGATCATTGTCCACGGTTCTGGGGAGTAGCGTAGCGCTGCGTTCCAGGAGTGGGCTCGTCGTTTCATTATGATTGGGTTTGGGTGCCGTGCTAACGTACCTGAATCGCCGTTCCCGCAACCGGCATTACACCACTCCGCGAACTGGCTCGTGTTCAGGATGTACAACGCTTCTCGGACCTCGGATAACGTGACGCCGAAACGTGGGTCAGCTGTGCCAGGATTAAGCGGGACCGTCGCGGTTGCCGCCGCGCCATCGCAGGGAGGCGACTGCTTCGCGGAAGTAACCGCGCGCACTGGAACCCGTGGGGCGAACCACGGGGTCCGCCACCATGCAAATTTGATGGGAACCCTCGATGATGGAGGAAAAAATGCTTTAGCCAAACGCCGTCGGCGAGAGCCAAGTCGAGCCCCTAGGAATCCTAATTAACATCAGCCTGCGGCCCAACTGCTGATCAAGAGAAGTGCGCCCTTCTTGCCCAGTCGCAACGCTATGTACAAACTCCTCCTCCTCCTCCTCCTTTTCCTGCTCCTCCTCCTGCGCCTCGTCTTCCTCCTCCTCCTCCTCCTCCTCCTCCTCCTCCTCCTCCTCCTCCTCCCTCCTCCTCCTC